TATCAACAGATGGAAAGCTTTTGAATTATGGTTTGCGCGGGGATGTCGAATTTCAAGATGTATTCTTTCGTTATCCTTCACGTCTTGATGTTATAGTACATCGCGGTTTGAATATAAAAATTAAATCAGGGCAGACAGTTGCTTTAGTTGGACATTCAGGCTGTGGCAAATCAACTTGTGTGCAACTGTTGCAACGATTTTATGATCCTGTTTTTGGAGCAGTACTGCTAGACGATTTAGATATCAGAAAGTACAATATACAATGGTTGCGTTCGAATATAGCAGTTGTAGGTCAGGAGCCAGTACTTTTTCAAGGATCTATTGGTAAGTATAATAATAAATATTATTTACTCTTTTCAAATTTTTTTATGATTTTTTCTAGGAGAAAATATTAGTTACGGCAGACCTGAAGCTACACAAAAGGAAATCGAAGCTGCAGCAAAATCTGCTGGTGTACATGACTTCATCATTAATTTACCTGAGGTACCAAATTAAACAATAATATTACAATTGATTATATATAGAGCTTATAATGCTTCCCTTTTTTAAGAGTTATCAAACTGTTATAGGTGAACGTGGTTCTCAGCTATCTGGAGGACAGAAACAACGCATAGCAATTGCGCGAGCACTTATACAAAATCCTAAAATTCTTTTACTGGATGAAGCAACCTCCGCCTTAGACTACCAGTCGGAAAAGTTAGTACAAGAAGCATTAGACTTAGCAAGCAAGGGGCGTACTACTATTGTAGTATCGCATAGACTTTCTGCTGTGCGTAGTGCAGATAAAATTGTGTTTTTACATGATGGTAAAGTGGCTGAAGAAGGCTCCCACGATGACCTAATGAAACTGGAGGGCATGTACTACAATATGGTTAAAGCTGGTGACATGAAAATACCGGAACCAGAGGAACCCAAAGACGTTGACATTGATGATGAAAAAAGTAAATACTTTCTATGTTACATTTAAGTCTGTTGTTTACTTATATATATAATTATTTAGGGAAGAGCCTTGCACTCTACGAAAAGTCCTTTGAAACCAACCCAGTCAATTTTGAACAAAAACAAAAAAATAGTGTACAATTTGAGGAACCCAATTTCGTGCTACCTAAGAATATGAAAGCATTGACAGAACAAAAAGAAAAAGAACCTGAACCTAATTTTTTTGTGACATTCGCTCGCATTCTTAAAATAGCACGACCGGAATGGTGTTTCTTGGTTTTGGGTGCAATATGTGCTATTGGATTTGGCTTCACTTATCCAGCTTTTGCTATTGTTTTTGGTGAATTCTATTCTGCACTGGCGGAGCCTGAAAAACAAGACGCTTTGGATCGCACCGCTGTTCTTTCTTTGTGTTGTCTTGGCCTTGGCATACTAACAGGCGTAGCTTCGTTTCTACAGACGTATCTGTTCAACTATGCAGGCGTTTGGTTGACTACCAGAATACGTTCTATGTCATTTAAGTCAATTATGATACAAGAGATCGGTTGGTTTGATGAAGAAAAGAACTCAGTTGGTGCATTGTCAGCACGATTGTCTGGTGATGCAGCTGGTGTACAAGGTGCTATTGGATACCCATTAAGTGGCTTATTACAAGCATGTTCAAACTTTATTGTTGGTATATCAATTTCATTTTACTACTCATGGAAATTGGCTCTATTATGTTTGAGTACATGTCCGATTATTGTGGGTTCCGTTATCTTTGAAGTGAAGTGAGTGTTCCAGAAACAAAAATAAAAACGAAAATTAAAATTTATTAATAATTTATTACAACTAATGTAGATTTATGACAAACTGTATGGTGCGTGAAAAAACTGTACTGGAAGAAGCTTGTCGTATTGCTACAGAAGCTATTGCTAATGTCCGCACTATTGCCGGCTTACGCAGAGAGCAGCCAGTGATAGACAAATATAATGAAGAGGTGCATAAAGTGGAGGGTCTTATACGACAAAAACTCAAATACCGTGGTATTATCAATGCAACTGGACAAGCATTCCTATTCTTCGCTTACGCAGTCGCACTATGTTATGGTGGTGTATTGGTTTCAGAAGGAAAACTACCTTTCCAGGATATTATTAAGTAAACAATATTTTATATATTAAATATAATCTTATAAATGCTATATTTCCAAATTTTTAGAGTATCAGAAACACTCTTATATGGGTCAATGATGTTAGCACAATCGTTGGCATTTGCACCTGCTTTCACAGCAGCTCTAGTAGCCGGACATCGTATATTCCTACTCATAGATCGCAAGCCAAAAATAAGATCTCCTGAAACCCTTCCTAAAAACACGCTTGCCAAGCAATTAAATCTCTTCGAAGGTGTACGTTATCGAGATGTAGAGTTCCGTTATCCAACTCGTCAAGATGTAAAAATACTGAATGGCATCAATCTAGAAGTTATACAAGGACAAACTGTGGCTTTGGTTGGACATTCCGGTTGCGGCAAATCAACCTGTATACAGTTACTACAGCGTTACTATGATCCCGATGCTGGTTCTATTGTAAGTTATAGAATAGAATATAAAGCGCAAAAGAACTTATTATATCTACTTCCTCTTTTTAACAGCATATTAACTACGATGAAATCCAAGCAGATTTAACTCTAGAAAACTTACGCAGTAAACTGGGCATAGTATCTCAAGAACCTTCACTCTTCGAACGCACTATAGCCGAGAATATAGCTTATGGTGATAACACACGAGATATACCAATGGCAGATATAATTGCTGCTGCAAAGTGTGCGAATGCACATTCATTCATTATTTCACTACCGAATGGTTACGATACCAAAATGGGTGCACGTGGTACACAACTTTCTGGTGGACAAAAACAACGTATTGCCATTGCACGTGCTTTAGTTCGTAATCCGAAAGTACTACTTCTCGATGAAGCCACATCTGCACTAGATTTACAGAGTGAACAAATTGTCCAACAAGCCTTAGATGCTGCTTGTTCTGGCCGTACTTGTATTGTGATTGCTCATCGTCTCTCTACTGTACAAAATGCGGATCTTATTTGCGTATTGCACAATGGACGAGTTGCCGAACAAGGCAACCATCATCAACTACTGGCCAAAGATGGTATTTACGCCAAATTGCACAAGACTCAGAAGGATCATTAGACATCACATTAGTCATAAACTTTATCTCAATAGAAAGTATCATTTAGTTGTAAACATTTCTAAGCTGAGACAATACTTCAATTTAGTACATTGATATTATTTTTATTACAATGCACATTTGTTCTGTTTTACAATATAAATTGTTTTAAATAAATTTTAAAAATGTTCGCTTTAATATAAAAATTGTTTTACGAGTAATAAGTAGTATTTAATTATTTTAATAGAACAAAACCTACTATCAGATAACGTCTTTTTTTTAGCATAATACAAGGAGTGATGAAAAAATATGATATTCAGTATTTATTCCAAACCGTTCAGAGTAGTCTTCTTTCATATTATGGACTCATTCCACTGTAGTTTCTATTTTGAGGAACACTATCGTCTTTATTTTAAATATTGTTAAAAACCATAATCATTTTGTGTGTTTTTAATTTTTAGAAATAAAATGATTTCGGCATTAAAGTAATACTATGTTTCACCTCCAGGTTTTTGTTTTGATTATGTTTGACCAACGGCTTAATCAAATAATGGCCCATTGTGATACCACTAATGAAACACTATCCATAAACCAGACAAAAGAACCATCTTAAAAGTAAAAGTATTAAAAAAATTATGCATCAAATTTGAAACATTATTTTTACAGGAACACAAAAAGGACACCTAGGTTTTCCTTTCAGAAGCTATAACTTCTTCTACTGTTAAACATTCCACAAATCATTAGATCAAATTTTGCTCCCACTCGTTTCATGTCCAAAACACCAACAAAAATCGTTTCGTATAAGTTACATGATATTCTTATTTCTTCATTAAGAATATGTCAAGACTTTGACATATAACATAAACAATCCTCTTCATAAACTTGGGCCATCAGTTAAAACGTTTGGATTTAACTGTTAGTAAATTTATTAAATATCATAAAGTTTTTACTGTACCATAAATAAATGAAGGATCTATTTTACCGATATATATGATTATGAATAGAATGATTGTACGTCACTACAAATGCCTATTCCTCATAAGTCTTCTGTACTTTCCAATGTGCCTCATATTGCTATTTAAAAGAATATTTTTTTAAATTACTTAAGTAGCTCGGTCTTATGTACATAGAGTAATAATTAATAGAGTAAGGACTAATGGTTTTAGTCCTTTTAGTTTATTTCACTTAAATCATATCCTCATTGTTAATCGGAATAACTACAAAACTGAAAACGATATTATGTCTCAATTCTGCAGAAACTTCTAATTAACAAATCAATGATAATAAAAGAAAAAGATTGATATCCTATTATTTTGCACTTCAATGCTCCTCATTTTAGTTGTTTCAAAAGTCAATGATATTATTAATACAAATTACAATACTATCCAAAAATTGCACAATATTACATTTCAGATATTTCAGCTATAAAGTTTATGTTCAGCAGTATAGAGTGTTGATCTAAACCGGTCTCCCTAAATACTAGAGCTAACTTTTGTACTAAAAAAGAAATTGTATTTTGTTTTTGTAAAATAGCACTAAATAAATTTTAGAAACCTTCTGAAAATTTCAAATAAATACTACACCTAAAATTTAAGACATATATCAATTTAAAACCACATATATATATGATATATCAGTTTTAACACATGACTTAAAAGTACTGAAAAATTACTTATTATATTACTATTATTAAATTACAGTTATTATATGATAAACATATATAAGAAACGACTTGGATGTAATCGTGAACCAAAAACATTAAGTGGCGACAGATGCAGATCAATGCAGAGACTTGTTGAATGAGGCCAAGACCGGACAACGGTTCTATCGCGTATGCTAATGATAATAAGCTAATAAAAATTAATACTTAGGAAATATTTTTTGGTCATAAAAAAAATATATTTTTGTTACTAAAATTAATTAAGAGACTTTTTTAAATTAATGACCCATAAATAATGAGAGTATTTTCAAAAATTAATTATTGCCATCTATATAAGGTAAAAATTTAAAACAGATCGTCTTTAAAAACAGATTTCGTTGCTCACGTGTGTTAAAACTACTTAAAATATATTTTTTTCAAATTATATTATATAAAATATATTTTTTTAATAATTTTTTTCTTTCTTCATTAGATTTCAAGACCTTTCTAATTTTACAAATCATATTTCTTGAACGGAACTTTTTTAATAGTAGTGAAAATCTAGTTATAATAGTTAAAATCTTTAATAAAATTTTATAGTTATTAATTGATATAATATTATATATAAAAATAGAAATTTTAAAATTCTGCAAAATCATTCCTATCTATGTGTACAAATATGTATAAGAAGAAGATATTTATAGAATATTTTAAATTGCTCACCCATTATTTTATTACCTCCGAATTTATGCAATTATAAATTCATTGATTATTCTGACTCTCTGACTTTTTGTCTTTACGTTTTTCCTTAAGTTAATTATTTAAATTGAACAACGTAAGAATATAAATCAAAGATCTTTACAATTAACGATTTCTACACAAGAGAGTCAGTCCAGCTATGAAGGAAAAATTTCTTCTATCTTAGAGAAAAGTATTCGACCAATTAAATTAAAATAGAAATAAAGTAAGAGCAGCTGGAACTCATCGATTTAGGCAAGGGCGTAGTTGAAGTATTTTTGTTTTGTTATTCTTTTATAAACAAATGAAATAGTTCATTAAATTCATATAAAAGTTTAAAATCCTCAATACTATTACTAGTAGTGTATTAATGTGTAATAGAAAAATAATTAATTTCAGCAAAAAAAAAAGCTTTGAAAATATTAGCATTTTATCAATCAATTATGTATTAAAGGACCTCATGTAAAAAAATATATCGATTAATTGCTCAATACCGATAACTTTTACTCATACATTATTCGTAGTTTGACCTCATGATTTTAGCAGAAATTTTTTTTAACTCAAGACAAAGTTATATCAGGTTAATAAAAATACTTACAAAAGAACAGTTTAAATAAAACAGAGTAAATAGTCAGACCAATTTCCTTCCCTAAATTTACCTCACATCTAGACTTCATTACTCATATTTTCATTCTTATATTTACGTAAATAGATTACTCATATGAGGGAACTATCAACTTAAATTTTTTCTATATCTTGACTAACTGGTTAACTCATAATTTAAAAACGTAGCTCTCATTTTCTCCCGTGTTTTAATATAGGTGATAAACACATATCCAAAAGAACTTCAGTTAGTTAGTTAGCTCATATCTAGGTGGTATCTTTTCTTTTGTCTCACATATAAAAAAACAAGAACCGTAACTATTATAGACGCCATTTCACCCATCTTGAGGTGATAAACACATATCTAAAGAACTTCAGTTAGTTAGTTAGCTCATATCTAGGTGGTATCTTTTCTTTTGTCTCACATATAAAAAACCAAGAACCGTAACTATTATAGACGCCATTTCACCCATCTTGAAACTATAGTAGATGAGAAAAATATGGAGATTAAAAGAAATGCATATCTATTTTACATATACCTTTAATCGCATTTTAACATGTAAACCTTTTAAAAGATAACATCGAAATCTTCAATAATGCAATATTAATCAACGCTCATAAATAAATTAATTGACTTTAATATATTTGTAAGAAAGATGAGACCTTATTCCGTAAATACTATAATAGCAGTGTTTCTTCATACTTATTTTACTTAAAGTCACGGTTCATTCTGCTGTAATACATTGCAATAACAGCATCTACAGCAGACTAAGAGGAACAGAGAGATAGAGAGGTACAAACCTCTAACCCTACTTTTCGAAAAATCCTACTATATAATACGTTAAATCCGTTTCAATAATTACTTACTTAATTAATAACTTTTCCTATATAGTAGTTTTCTATATCAGCTATTGAAAAATGAATATCTTATATCGAAAACATTGACAAATAGAGTAGACAACCGCGTAGAAAAAATCGTCACATTTGTAAAATGTCAAATAACATAAAAATATAGCCTTATGAGTTTCATATAAATGGGAAAGTATGAATTCGATTTTTGTCTTCGAAATTTTACTCACTATTGTGTTAACAGTACCATATCCTAAAAAAAAAAAGATAAGTCCTGAAAAAAATATTACTCTACGGATGAATTTATTGCATATCCATTAAACTTTATCTCCATATAATATTGATGCAGTACTCACTCTAGACTCTAGAAATTGTTTTTAGCGAACTTACTCATTGGCTTCCTTATACCTATAGTCGATATGCACTTTGTATGGCATATCTGAAAATCAGAATTCAATGTAAACAAAGCAAAATAAATTAAAATCAAATTGAAATTGAAATCAAAATGATTTCAAATTGATATGTTATATAATTTTCTCAGAGGGACTCCATTCTTGCACTGGTTGTTTAGGACTTTATCCACTCCAATCTAATCTAACCAGGTATATAATGCGTGTCGCATACGCCATTGATGTGAAATAGCTCTACATTATGGAGAACGTTTGTAAGACTTTAGTTCTAAAAGCCACCAGATATATGCCTCGTAACCAGTCTTCAATGTAAGCCACTCAACAGTGCTGGATTATAACAAAAAGCACTTTACTTTAAATTAAATTTAAATTATAATTAAACCCTTTTCTTACTCTTTTAACATACGTCATGAGTATCTATTTTACGAACTAGTGAAATTAGTAATCATTCAAAAAGAAAAGGGTTTGTTGGAGCCTACAAAAAAAATTATGCCTGCGTTCATATCAATTAATTTCCTTAATAGATTAAAATAAGTGTCTTCGAAATCTTATAAATACACAAACAAACCACATTTCAAAACAGTCGCGCGTTTTATTAGAAGAGAGTCAGTCGGTGATCTTGAACTAGAAGCGGGCCGAGTACAATTTTTATGCTTCACAATTAAATAGAATAGAAGTAATTAAATAAAGTGAAGTGGAGAAGTGTTAATATCAAATGAGAAGACTCAATAAATGTGCTTACGATAAGAAGATAAGAACTTCTCTTCAAATAGTTGTTAAATCTAATTATTAGCAAATATTTCTATAAAGATAAAATAAGCAATCTGTGCAAATTATTTAATAAAAATGCAACAAAACAAATACTAGTAAAGGAACTAATAACAGTCGTAAAAGTTCACGTAGAAAAAATTAATGTCAAATTCATTGACTATTTTTACAAAGTTCGTAGCCTTGACTACATTCAATAACGCATAAGGAAGTCATCCATACCACAAACATTCAATTAAATTTATTTACCGGCTACTCTTTTAATAGTGTCATGGACGTGTGTGTACCCCCCGTATGTGTTTAAGATGCACTACGCAAGTCCATGCTGACTACAACTTTTACATAACTACACCGGAATACACGCAAAGAAACCATTAAGTTAGAAATATTTTTGAAGTGTGAAGTGACTGCAACGTTTAATTAAATGTCGTGTGAAATAAAAAAAGTGATAATTCTTAATTGACCCAGTGAACTCGGCACCCCACACATGAATGAAAAATTTTTTAATAGATTTTTTAAAAATTTGCAACTCATCATTATATATCAATAATTAAGAGTGAACCCCTTTAAAAATTTAGTGAGAAACTCAAACAAAAATGACCTCAACAACGGACAGTACACAGAGCCGTAAGAATAAGAAGGCTAAGAAAAAAGTGAAAGAAGAACGCACTATTAGCTTTCATGAACTTTTTCGTTATGCTAATTATTGGGATCATTTCTTAATTTTTATCGCCTGTCTAATGGCATTTATCAAATCCCTGGTATTCCCTGTTGCGATTATCGTGTACAGTGAACTAGTGGCAATGTTCATAGACCGAAATCTTGGCGTTGGCACTAGTTCTGCAACAATAGCCTTACCATTATTTGGAGGTGGAAAAATGCTGTAAGTGACTTCTTCCTATTGCAGGAAAACAATTAAATCTATGCAATAACTCTACTAATTCTGTTTTAGCTCAAATGCTACACATGAGGAGAATATGGCCGAACTGAAGAAGGATTCTATTTCATTTGGCATTTTAATAACTATAGATACAATTGTTTTGTTTATATCGGGAATTGCATATGTAGACTTACTTAATCATGTAGCCCTCAAATTAATAGTGCGCATGCGTCGCAAGTTCTTTGAGGCTACGATACGCCAGGACATTGGTTGGCACGATGTTACGAAGAATCAAAATTTTGCAGTAAGAATAACAGAGTAAGTTGGAAAGCAAACGAGCATAAGTGAAGTCAACGATAAATGGGTAGTTAGTAAAATAAATTTTATATTTTGCAGAAAATGTATTTAGATAAAGTTGATTCCCTGTCAGATAAGTAGTCAGAGGCAGGTATAGATGGGGAAAAGTCGCTGCATAAAAAAACAATTGGCTACTTTATTGGTCATAACGGTTAGCACTGAAAGATCAGATTTTATGATGAAAATAAAAAAAAACCTTCTTGAAATATAATGGATTATGACAGGCTGAGTGCTTTTGGTCCATATTCGATGATAAAATAATTCTAATTAATATTCACAAGGCAAAAATTTAATGTTCTGATATAGTCTATGAGATACTGTCTATCTTACAAAATTTAACAGACCTTAAGAATTTACAACTAAAATGGGAACAAGCTTCTAATACTATTATTAACAGTAAAGACTAAGAATGTAATATTTATTATTTAAGAAAGTAAAACATAATTTTTGAATCGCAGATTCATATGTTGAAACAGGAAGAAATCGAGCCATTTTTAAACCATATCTTAAGAAGCAATAAAAAATGAATTTTTATATAATGTATATATAATGACCAGCAGTTCTGGATGACAATGGATGACAAGAACGTGAAAAAAATAGAATGCCAGAATTGATCAAAAGGAAACGTATTTCATCTTGACCATACATAGCTATGGTAAATCGCGAAAAAATCGAATCACTGAATACTGGGTACACATATAACACGTTGTATTGCCATTGCACTATAGGATTATCAGATTTCCGGATCTCTGCAATACTTTTTACTAAAGTAAAATTGACCTTAAAACAGAACTGTGTAAATCCCCAATCAAATGGCCGAAAAAAATCTACATTACTTATACAATATAAGCTGATGAATATTTACACTAGTCTTATATAACCAAAATAGGTTTCGCTTAACTGTCAGTTGTAAACTTTTTATATCATTATGTCTATCTTAAATTGATGATAAGAAAATTCAGGTCAACTCATCATTATCATTATCATTATCAAATAAGAATATAAAATAAGAATATAAAACTCAAAATGAATGGATATGTTAAAAACAGATATATGTAAGACCCACCACCAATAAATTTTTTTGTTTTCTTCTTCTTTTTGTAGTAACATGGAGAAAATTCGGAACGGCATTTCAGAGAATATAGGTCATTTTATACAACTATTTTGTGATATTGTTATTAGTATTATAATATCATTTATATATGGATGGAAACTTACTTTATCCATTTGTATTTATATACCCTTGACAGTTCTTGTTAATTATGTTGTTGCCAAAGTAAGTAAAATTTATTATATTAACATAATTATATAATACACTATGTGATGTCTCACACAGTACCAAAGTAAATTAACTACACGAGAACAGGACTCATATGCTATTGCTAGTTCTATTGTAGAAGAAGTAATTGGCGCAATACGCACAGTGGTAGCATTTGGTGGGGAAAAAGTCGAAGCACAACGCTACGAACAACGTCTGGTACCTGCACGTAAAGCAGGTCAACTAAAAGGTGCCTGGTCTGGCTTAAGTGATTCCATATTAAAAGCTATGCTCTTTATTGCAAGTGCAGCTTCATTTTGGTATGGTGCACATCTTATATTGGACGACCGTGAGAAGAATGCAGAAGACAAAGATTACACACCTGCTGTATTAATGATTGTAAGATTATCGATGTTATTTATTATCATATAAAACTTAAGTTTTCATTTTTTATTACCTTTAATAGGTTATTTCTGGTATTATTGTTGGTGCTGATCATATTTCACGTACCACACCTTTTTTGGAGACATTTGCTATGGCGCGTGGTTCAGCTGTTGCCATTTTTGAAGTAATGGACTCAACACCTAAAATTGATCCAATGTCAAAGGATGGAAAAATTTTGAATTATGGCCTTAAAGGCAATATTGAATTTCAGGATGTGTTCTTTCGCTATCCATCTCGAGAAGATGCTATAGTGTTACGAGGTTTTAATTTATCGATTAAAGAAGGAGAAACGGTAGCATTGGTGGGATATTCAGGGTCTGGAAAATCAACTTGTGTTCAATTGCTACAAAGATTTTATGACCCCATATTTGGTAAAATATTATTGGATAATGAAGATATAAAGAAATACAATGTATCTTGGCTTAGATCCAATATGGCAGTAGTTGGTCAAGAACCAGTACTCTTTCAGGGAACGATAGGTAATGAATGATAATTTCCAGCTCTATACATGAGCATTACGTTTATTCTGTTAATAGGTGAGAACATACGCCATGGCAAACCTGATGCCACACAAAAAGAAGTTGAAGATGCGTCACGAGCGGCTAATGCTCATGATTTTATAATCGGCTTACCGGACGTAAGTTGTAAATTTAAAATAAATTATTTTAGAATTAACATTTGACACTTATTATCAACGTATTTATTGATGAATATTAATATATAATTATTATATGATTGCATTTTTTTAAACACATTTTGTTAAAATAGAGTTATAACACTATTATAAGTGAAAAGGGAGTTCAGCTTTCTGGTGGACAGCGCCAACGAATCGCGATTGCTCGAGCACTTATACAAAAACCAAAAATTTTACTTCTTGACGAAGCAACATCAGCATTGGACTATCATTCTGAAAAACTAGTGCAAAGCGCTTTAGATCGCGCCAGCAAAGGACGTACCACAATTGTCGTATCTCATAGGCTTTCTGCCATTTGTCACGCAGATCGCATTATCTTTATCAGTGATGGTAAAATTTTAGAACAGGGCACCCATGACGAACTAATGCAGCGTGCCGGAAAATACTATGATATGGTATCAGCACATGAATACACTGGAAATGCAGAAGACACAATTACCGATATGGAGAGTGAAATTAATTTGGAACTGATGAAAGATCGAAAACTATCAGAAGACTTAGTAAAACAAAAAAATTCTATGCTAGACCCCAGATTTTCAGAATCATCTATTGATAAAAATGTAATTAAATACTTTTCAAATAAGAAAGCGAAAAACGATGAAAATTTAACAGAAAAGGAAGAAACCACCAATTTTACTAAAACTTTTTTTCGCATTCTACTTTCTACTAAACCTGAATGGAGCTTTCTTGCTTTAGGCACAATATGTGCTGGACTTTATGGTTGCGCACAGCCAGCATTTTCTTTAGTTTTAGCAGAGTTATACGCCTCATTAGCCGAACCAGATCCAGAAGATGTACTTAAACATACTTCCACGATGTCCATCATTAGTGTTGTAGTGGGTCTATCGGCATGCGTGGTATGCTTTACTCAAACATACTTCTTCAACTTGGCGGGTGTATGGTTGACTACACGCATGAGGTTAATATTATCTGTTAAAAACTGCGTTTAAAGATTATATATTGTATTCATTCTTAGATCTGAAACGTTTCGTTCTTTTATGCGTCAAGATATGGCTTGGTTTGATGAAAAAGAGAATAGTGTAGGTGCACTTTCTGCGCGTCTCTCTGGTGATGCCTCAAGTGTACAAGGCGCAATTGGATTTCCCCTCAGCAATATAATACAAGCGTTAACCAATTTCATTTGTAGTTTTTCCATAGCATTTGCCTACTCATGGGAACTGGCACTAATTTGCCTTTGTACAGCACCATTTATGGTCGCTGCTATAGTCTTTGAAGCTAAGTAGGTAATCATTTAATAGAAATTCTTTAAACTTTTCAATGCATGCTTAATTGTTTCAAGATTTGCAAATAAATCTGCTTTAAAAGAAAAAGTTGTGTTAGAAGAGACTAGCCGTATTGCTACCGAAACCATAGCTCAAATACGAACAGTTGCAGCTTTGCGCAGAGAACCGGGCGTCATAGCAGAATACGATAAGGAAATAGATCGATATGAAATGCAAATTAAAAGACGTCTACGTTTTCGTGGCTTGGTTAATTCATTAGGAATGGCTATAATGTTCTTTGGATATGCTGTCACCTTAACTTACGGTGGCATTATGAATGCTGAAGGCAAAATTAAATTCGAAGATATTATGAAGTAAGTACTAACAACCTTATCTGTTGTCGTTGACATTAAGATATTACTTTATGTAGAATTGCTAATACTATGTTGTACGGTTTGTTCATACTTGCACAATCACTTGCTTTTACACCAGCGTTTAATGCTGCTCTCATATCGGCAAGTCGTCTGTATCAAATCATCGATCGTGAACCATCAATTCAGTCACCTGATATATTTGGCGCAAAATCCAATGGTGTTGTGATTTCCAAAACAAATGTTGTGCAACAGGGTGTGAGCTATCGTGACATTAACTTCAGCTATCCAACACGTCCAGATCAGAAAGTCTTAAAAAATTTTAACCTAGATGTATTGCAAGGAAAAACAATTGCCTTAGTAGGTTCTTCGGGGTCAGGCAAATCAACTTGTGTACAACTGCTTCAACGTTTTTACGATCCTATCAGTGGAAAGATTGTAAGTTTTGAATTACACGTTACATAAAAAAATAGATCAGTTCCTTCTTAAACACGAATTTCAAAAAAAAAAATATGATAGCTAATTGATCAGGAAGACATACACCAGGACATGGAGCTGCCAACTCTACGTCGTCGTTTAGGTATAGTATCACAAGAACCATCACTTTTTGAAAAGACAATAGCAGAAAATATTGGTAAGACAAACAATGTAATGACTTCGGTTTCTTTCTATAACTTACGAATGCTCTCCCACAGGTTATGGCGACACAACTCGCGTGGTGCCTATGACACAAATCATTGCTGCTGCTAAAATGGCAAATGCTCATGATTTTATTACAGCACTTCCTTCAGGTTATGACACATGTCTAGGTTCAAAGGGTACGCAACTATCTGGTGGACAAAAACAACGCATAGCTATTGCTCGCGCCTTAGTAAGAAATCCGAAAATATTGCTATTAGATGAAGCGACTTCAGCGCTCGATTTGCAAAGCGAAAGAGTAAGTTTTAAACAGAGAAAACATTTTCAATCAATTTAATTTATAAATCCTTTTATCTCTCTTTACTTTAGGTTGTACAAACTGCACTGGATGAGGCTTGTGCTGGTAGAACATGTATAGTAATTGCACATCGATTGGCCACTGTGCAGAATGCAGATCTTATATGTGTTATACAAAGTGGACGTATCGTTGAACACGGAAATCATCCACAGCTAATTGCGAAAAATGGTATATATGCCAAACTATATCGCAGTCAACCAAATACACAATAGAAATCTTTCATCCAAAAATCAAACAGAATAGCTTTAGTAGTTTATATTATCTTTAATTCTAAATTAACTTTAGTTGATAATCATATATGATATATATATCTTTTCTTTTCGTAAAAGTAAATAATATTTTTAGTGCCATAGCTGGTTTTTTTGATATACCATAGTTAAGGATACATGCTAATATTTGCTTTCCTTGCGAACGATTGAAATTCAACAAGAGTGATAAGTGGCCCTTTGGGGTCATAGGAAAGTAATTTTATCAAAAACTCGTTCGTTACTAGAAATAATTAATGATTCACAACGAAAATTAAACATGACAGGGATTACTCTATGGAGGATTACATCAGTTATCAAACTTCACTTCAAATTTCCAGTATAGCTGTGGATCACAATGGATCAATAGACCTAAGTCGATACTTACATAGAAGAGAATCCGTGTTTAGAGCATTTTAGTCAGCAGAATTCACTTTAAAAAACTACTACGGCTTGAAGGTTCCAAATGGTTTTAGACTCTTTAAGTTTGCTCTGGTAACACAATGGATTAATAGACCTAACTCAATTCGTAAAAGCACTTTAAATTATGAAGAAACGTTAAAAACCAGTTCATTTTAGTTTCTTTAATATTGTTGGGGCCCAAGAGGTTCTACTGTTATTACCCTAGTTGGGATAATAAACAGTAACTGGTTGTATGAGTAGTCAAACTGTTCCAAAACGTGTATCTGGCTCGTCCTATTGATTCACTGTTGTTCTACAATATAACAAATAACGTTATCAAGTCAAATACCTAAGTAACTAGATGTAAGTAACTAGAAGCAATAATTTTACAAGAACATATCATACGTAACCAAGTGCCTAGTTATTTATGTTCGGTGTGGATAGCGTGACCGTGTCCCGAATTCGATTGAATTTATAAGTACACAGTTCTGGTGGTTAATATGTAGACATCACTGAATTAATTCCTTGATTGATAAGTGTAATATTTTCTATGATATGCGTGTGGCTGTACGTGATAGCATTGTGAATTGTATTTATTGATTAAAAATTATTTTAAATTTAATTTAAACAAACTACAGTGGTATGTATATGCTTTCTACACTACAGTACACTTGTGAATGAAAATGGGATTAAATATTTATTTCAATATATTGTTTAGACCATTAGGTGTGAAATATATATCATTCAAATGTTCTTCGCGAGACTTACAGTTTACAGTGCTGGATTCTATTGAGGTAATTACGTTTACTTACCGATGCATAGATGACAAGAGCTCGATAAATACTTGACAGATATTCGGTTTCAAAATCACAAAAATTAAAGAATTATCAATATTAACAATCCGTAGTCCTTAAAAAAAATTCCTGTTGTGGCAAATCGTTATTCTGATGGCTCAAGACAGAATGTAGCTTTTAGCTCACTACTGCCACATATCTTTTACATTAATATCTTTAGTCACGTCAAAAAAAAAAAATGGATAATCATGTAACTCTAGTGATGAGTTTCACACTTATGCAATTTTGAAAAAAAAATGTGTGGATGCAATGGTCTTCAAAACCTACTTGTGCCAGGTTTCTTCAGCTGGACCAAGGATAATTTCAATTTAAACCCCACCCACCCCAATCAACACTTCCTATCCTCAATCAACTATCACCTACCCACATTCTAACCCATGTATTCAACTAGTAAGTCCTTTCATGTTATCTGCTTTTTGATCCCAGCGGGTTACAACAACAACAACAACAACAATAGACACTTGCTGATTTTCATTGCCCGGTATGCGACAATTTCGTTTATTGGCCCAAAATTGGATGCCCAAAATCGTTAATGTTTCTAATCAAGTTATCAGAATTTAAATTCAAACACATTTTGTGATTGTTATGTTACTGAAAGTGTGCTGTCAAGTCAGGACCAAGAAATGGATAACTCTCTAGTTTACGGTTTATCAAAATTACTTCAATTGGAATTATAAAAACAAATATTTTTATCTTAAAAACTAAGAGGTTTTAAAACGGTATTAAACATATATTGCTACAATTTACTCTTAATTAAATTAAGATTTAAGTAACGAACATTAACTACAAACAATGACACCCAAGTTAAATTTACTGTCTTTTCCCACATTTGATCAATTCATTATGGATTTAGTAGCATATAGCCTTTTTGCTATATTTAAACTATTATAATTATAAACCATCTACTATACTACCACAGAAACATGCATTTAAATATAATTTATATCTACTTTCAAAACAACTTCAAGCTAGTTTTCGAATGAGTTTAGCTTCATAAATTCTTATCGTTTATTATTTAAGTTAATAAATTTACATTACAATTTATATAAATATATTAATTAATTCGTTTACATCAAGTAGTACGACGAATCGATACTACAACAAAAGTTGTACTACTAAAAATTGGCTTCTATGTTCTATATGTTATATATTTATTTAGAAAGGTAAGTACAGTGAGTACCGTTCATAACAAAGAAGTACAAATAATTATCTTAGTAGTTTGGATACCAAAAATTGGAGCTTTTCGCTTTTACAAACAGTACAACTGTGAACTATTCAAGGTTAAGTTAAATATGCAAAATATTGCAACTGTAAAAAATATATACTATTTGTTAAACAAATTATACAAAATGAGATACAAAACAAACAATACTAACTTATATTGCCAATCGTAATAGATTATATATTAATTAAAATTTTTATACATATACTAAATAATTGATATAGATTTATTACTATGAAAATACTATGACACATATATATGTCATGGAGTATATTCAATAAATTACAATTAAGCGCAGTATAACTACATATTTATAAAAAATAGTAGACAATAATAAAACAGGAAAATATAGAACACAAATGTTACACATATTACAATTCAAGCAAACTCTAAACATAAAATAAATTTGCACTTTTGCAATTAATAGCAATTAAATGTTGGTTTAGCTTTTTAGTTACACAAATAAAATAAACATTTCAAATAAATATATTTCTTTGAGTTATTTAGTCTATTTTTACATTGGAATAGATTTTTCTTACAAAATAACTTGTGCCCACATAGCCCACCGTACCACAAATTATTCCTAATGCACCGCTGAACAAAGCCATATAGCCGAAGTAGAAAGCCGTTTGAAAAAGTCCATACATTCTGAAAAATAGAAGAATATGTTAAAAAGTCATTTTTATATAAATGAATGATTAATATATAATAATTAATATATATAAATTTATTTGTAGATAGACTTCAATTGATATTGATCAACTCAGTTTAAAATAAACAAATGTAATACAATATTATAATAATAATAATATTATTATAATAAAATTATTATAATAATAGTAATATAATAACAATAATAAGATAATAATATAATAAAAATAATATAACAAATATAATAATGTAATTGCAATAATATAATAATAATAATATAATAATAATAACAATAATATAATAATAATAATACAATAATAATAATATAAGTTTTTGAACTTATAAAATGCAACATTTATGGATTTCTTATATTTATATTTAATAAATACATTTTGTTAAAAAAAATAATATTTTAACACCACGCTACATGATCAAAACTTTGATCCAAAACTAATAGATGTTTATGAAGATCATTAATAATATATAGATATTTGACAGTATCCGAAAATAGTTGTTTTTTCTGCTCAAGAATTCGCTTGATTAAATTAAATATTTATATGAATTTAACAATATTTCCACACTATTACATCCTTCTCTATTTGAATAAAATTTTATCATAAAACATAAAAATTTGTAAAAAAATCTATTTCATTAAAATAATTATACCAGAAATATATTGTGAGTTTTATAATTAAGTCATAGTTTGGAAACTAAAAATAATACTACATATTTTTATCTAAAGAATTGCAATATATCATTTTGAAGAAACAAAAAAATGTTATCAGAAATGTTCTCACATCCATTACAAGGCACACTTCATAACCAACAATCACTTTACTTGTAGATATTCTACTTGACTTGAAAAACTTTTGATAAAAGCCTTTATAACTACAAAAAAAGATTTTACACATACATATGCTGAAATGAAATGAACTATACTTTTTCTATATACTCCACTTGACTTGTTAGTAAGACTGTTAGTAAGACATTAGAGTCTATAAATACCAAAAACAGAATATTCTGCAGGCAAATTTGTTGAAATGAAATAAAACTGATTGAACAGTCCATGAAGAAAGACTACGGAACAAAAGCAACTCAATAAGTTAATAAGTTACATAAATTAATAACCTTAATAAGCACATTAACATAAAAACATTTACATAGCAAATAATAGATATGACACTATTAGTATTCATCGCATATATATTATATATCAAGTTTCATAAAAATATTTGTATAATAAAAAATAGATATCGCATTTTTTGATAACATAAAATAGTAATTAATCTATAAATAGAGCAAGTGAATAAAAATCAATAATGATTATTTTTGATTTACTTTTTATATAATAAAAATAAATAAAAATATTTCTATTTAAGACTGTTGATAATAATATAAATAGATAATAGATACTTAGTTGTGTAATTAAAATGTTCTACATAGAGATCTTAATACGAAAACGGCAACAAGCTAATAGTTTATTTAATAATTAATAAAAAGGTTTTTTTTTTATTCTATACTAGAAGGGTATATAAATATTAAACTAAATATATATGAGTTTATCAGGATGATCAGCATATATAGCTATTTACAACTTCTTCTAAGTATACAAATAATTTCTTAATTCAATAAATACTAAATTTAATTTAATTTAATTTAATTTACTTACTTCGTTTTAAAGAAGAAATAGTAAAAGGAGTAAGCATATACATAAATAGACGTTGATGCAGCAGACATAAAACTAGTCCATTGCCATCGATAATCCTCTGCATTCAGCAAGAAATATGTGCAGACAATAGTTACACAGACTGTAACTATAGTTAATATCGAGAAGACCAAAAGCATAAATCCATAAACATAATATATTTTATATGCCCAAAACGAAGTAAAAATAAAGTACCTACGAATAAAGATCATTAATAGAATATAATTTACATTTATAGAAAAAAACTTACATTTCAATAAATATTGAACCAAATGGCAACACACCACCCAGTAAAATAATAATTGCAGGTTCCATAAACCATTTCTTTTCGGGTATTGGCCTTGGTACCGCATTTACACGGCATGGATAGTCCGGCTGTCCATCTAAATTACGGCCGACAACTGTACCAACCAAAGTTAATGGCAGAATGACAAAGATGCAAATACAAGTAACCGCAACCATAGTACCAAATGGAATGGCACGCGAAGCATGATAGCCAATAGCTATGAAATTAATGAAAAATGCTGTGCCACACACAAATACAGGCACCATAAAGGCAGACACCAACATTTGTCGTATCCACATGCGACCACCAAGACGCGCATATAGTGAACCACCAAAATAACCATTGATAGGCGATGTTGCAGCATAAACAAATATTGCCGTCGATAACATTGAACCCCGTCTATTAACATATAAGAGTAAAGAACAATAATTAATTATAAGAATAAAAAAAAGAAAAGAGATTGTAGCTCTTTCACTTACTCTGTATATAATTCGCCTACTATAGCAAACATTATAACGCAAAATACCACAGATATAAGTTGATAACCAGCGCCAACCATTGCGGAAAATAAAAGTGCATGTGGTGGAGAACGAAAAACATCACCATGCACTTGCTTCCAACCATATTCATCACCCAAATCGCGTTCCTAAAAAAAATAAAATTATACAATTAATTTATTTAAATTAATAATTCGTTTACTACGTCTTAATAAAAAAACATTTATGTCTGTATGTTTTAATTAATTTACTAGAAAAGTTAAGAACAAATTTTTAACAAATATTTAAAAACAAAAAACAATTATAGTATTAATTACTTAATATTTAAAAAATACTAATATTTAAATGTTTTTTCGTATAATTAACTTGAAAAATGAAGATAACACGTTTTCAATTTAAGAAAATATTTAACTATTTAAAAATTATGCATAAAAATAAATAATTGCAGTAAAATTAATGCAGATAACTGCGCTGTTATAAAAGCTGTCTTTACTAATATTTTTTGAAAAATATATCTCAAAAAAAAATTTGAATACGGATATTGAAACGTGCACTAGATATAAAACACTTGTTTCTAAGCAAAATTTCCTAGCGCTTTGTATATTTATTTAATATTTGCAGCTGTGTAAACGATACTTAATATTTACATAATATAAATAACAGAATTTCAGAATTTCAGTTTTGAATATTTAACAGATACATACCATATCATCCATTTCTTCGTCTTTGCTATATCGTGCGTAATCTTTACGCAAAGTACGCATGAGTATCATTGAAACCAATCCAACCAAGAAAATAACCATCATAAAACTATTAAAAATGCTGAACCAATGTATCTAAAAACATAAAAATAGTATATATGTTAAAGTACATATTATTATTATAATTTATAATGGAACTGTACCCTATGTTGAAAGAATTTAGGATCTAAGTATTTATCAAAACGATCTTTAAAGGACACACTGCTTGGCTTCCAGTTGACTTCATAAGAGAATTTTATTTTTTCGCCTGTTTTGAGCAATTTTTTCTCTGCAGTTGTTAAATTGATATCGACTATTTGTTGGCCATTATAGCCAATTTCGAATTTTTTGTGCGTGTATATATAATATTTTCCATTCTGTTCTTCTTTTTCACCCACTTTGCCCCAAATCGGTAGACCATCAATATACATCTGGTACCAATACTCATTCATAACAGCATATGTGAATGCTTTTACCTTATCATCAGTCAAATCAACCATACAAATTACTGTAGTGGGTACGTCAACTGTGTGGAAGAACGCAATATTAAAAATGGTCCATAATCACTTAAGTAAACAACTTACTCTTAAACTCCATTTCATATCCACTAAATTCCAACTCAACGCCTTGCAAAGCCTCACTTAATGTCTCATGATAATGTGATATGCTCGATTTAGATCCACTGCAAAAAGGCAGTGAAAAGTAGGCATATGTTTCTTGTCGATTATGGTACGGACCTACAGTGTTCATCCACAGTACCACTTCTTCTCGATCTTTGTACTGTAATTCATAAAACAAACAATTACTTCATAAATATATTCTGTGAAGCAAGTTTTTCAGTACAAGTCTTTACCTGATGTGTGTGTTCGTCCGCATAACTATAGCCCAACAGACACACACATAAAACAAATAATTGCTTCAGCCGCATTATGATGTATATAAGAGTTGCATATAATTGTTGTTATTAATGTAGGGGTATGAACGAATAAATTTAAGTCAGAATATTAATTTGATATAATTTTCCAATAATTAGTAAACTGCAAAGACAGCGGGTCCGGTATTTTTATATATATATATTTTTTTTGGTTTGTTGAACTTGAGCTATTTGTCAAATCATTTAATGCGTTTTCTTTTAATTATTCATCTTAAAAATTTAATAATATTTATCGTTTAACAATTACATATAGGTTTATGGAAATATTATGGCAAAAAATAAAAATATTTCGCGACGTTGCTTTTCAGAAAAATTGATTCGGTTTGCATTTGTCAACACGTCAACTGATGTGAGAGAGTTGCCAATATCTGCCTAAAATGTAATTCACAATAGAGTTAGTAATATTTAAAAAAAAAACTAAACAATTATCATAAAGTCTAATATTAAAACTACTTTTGTTAATGAAATTAAATTTGATCATTTCCATTGGCATAAGCTGATTTATACATGTGAAATAGCTTGCTTGTTTACATTTAACATATAAAACATATAATAAATACATCAAATTTTAATAATTTCCCTTGTGGGAAATTTAATTTTAAAAGTTGCATTCGACATTTTTCGCCTTAAATCTGCTAGTGTTTTTATAATAAGCTCACTTATATGTAATGCTCTTTGTATGATAAATTATTTTCATTAGCAGCCTTAATGAGACAGTGTAAACGCAGTATTACAGCCCAATTTCTTAAAATAGAAAATAATAAAATATTATTTCTATTTTGAATTTATTAAATATAACCGTTTTATGACGAAAAAAATAATGTCATTTGCTATTATATTTTTTCATTTGATTTTAATTGAGATTCGTTTTAATGTGTCAACATATTTTGTTGTTTTTTTTATAAAAACTAGAGTCTAATGGTTCTTAAAAACTTCTCAAGTTATATTAAACTAATAAAACTATAATCCACTATGGACTAGACAAATACGGAATTGACTCCTGGGAATGTATATTCTTACGGAAGAGGCAATAAAACTCTGTAAAGTAGGTTCTAAACTAGTTTTTATTGATGCAACAGGGCTTAGAGACCTATTCTAAACCCAGAATGGGAGCGCAATAGACCCAACGATCGCAGTGCCATATCCCTTAACGATAATAATAATTATCCACTATATAAACGCTTTTATAGAATTATTTTTGTCGGTAGTTAGAAACCATTGCTGCCGACATAAACCTACTACAAGGATATAAACCCACTAAAATCGCTTCTTACTAATGTAAAATTTACCAACCGTCAGGCTAAAGAGCTGGTTCATCCTATAAGGTTATCATAACCATAGGGATAAACCAGCTCTTTAGCCTGACGGCTACCTAAAATGTCGAGCAAGTACCGACTTCCCTCGGCTGAAAACCATTTATAAATCAGAGACCTAGTTGTAGACCAACTTAATCCACAATATGGCTCCGGTACACAGATTTGAATGGCAGATCCTGATTTCGCAAGATTGTCGGGAGACTCATTACCATTGATTCCTGTGCGATCAGGCACCCAGCAAAGCATCACTTATAGAATTTAGTATACATTTTCACATTTTCATATAATATTTCAGAGCAACTAAGGATTAATGCTTACAAGCAGTTTTCCTGTAATAAACCTAACATGGTTTTAGCAAAGCAGAAGAATTACAAGAATTAAAAAGCAGAAGAATGATGAATACAAGCTTATGGATATTTGACGGCTTTGGTTAAAGTTCGCATCCACTTTGAGTTCAGAAATTTCCAAAATTTTATATTTATATAAAAACACTCAAATATTGCATTTTGTCTATTTTATTTTTAATTTTAACTATGTTTAAACATACATTTTTATTTTAAATAATAACTGTATTATTGAAATAAGTTTTATTTCATAAAAGGCGTTTCTACAGTTCTTATATGATCTAAATATACTTAACTATAACTGTAACTAACTTCTTACACATTAACTTTGTCAAAACATAAAATTAAATTTAAAATAATAATAAAAAAATTTTAATATAAACCTTATATACAGATTTCACACACGTTCTTTCAACGACTTGGTCGAGACCAGGTAATCCGGACAATTATCTTCAGCAAAAATAGTAATTATAACTTTTTAATTTTTAATTATAATTAAAAAGTTATAGAGAATAATTATATATTCTTACCGATTTTTCGGTAATCGATGCAATCGACTGTTGCACTCTGATGCTGAATGAATATCTAATCTTATTGTTGTGTGAAATAATAAAAAAAATGTTTTTGGTGACTATAAATATTAGCACACTACGCCAAAATAGCAAATGTGTCAGTTTGTTCAAAGCAGCCGTGTCATATTTACAACAATTCATTCTGAGTATTTGTGACCACTGAAATATTTGGTTTCAAAACAAAAAAAGTCAGAGTTGGATGAAATGTTTTCATTTTCTTCCTTTGTCTTGCTTCGGTGCTTTTTGTGTTTAGTGTTTAGTGTCTAGTGTCCTAATGTTGGTATAATATTACCGCCTTCCTTATTGCCGCCTATACTGGGATGTCGAGGCGAAGGCGGCGGTGGCAGCGCTGGTGCTTGCCTGTAGTAGTTTGGTGGTGGTCCACGATAATGTTGAGGCGGGGTGTTGTAATAATTATGTTGTGGAAAATACTGTTCATTGGGTGGATGAGGCAGCACATGTGGTGGTGGTACGCCCGGTTTAGGTGGCCCCACAACAGGTTGTGGTAAGTTAAAGTTATGAGGCCTTATTGGTATAGCGCCATCATGCATTGGTGGCGTTACTAAATGTGGAGATGGATGTGGACTGCGTATCGGTGGCATACGCATAAAGTTGTTATTAATTCGCATAGGCATAAAACGTATAGGTTGTATAAATGGATGTCTATAAACTGGTGGTGACTGTGGAGCTGGAACTGGTTGGAATGTACCTGAAAGTTTGCCTACATGTGGATGTGATGCTGTTGTGTTAATAACTGACACTGGTTGCGGCGGAGGTACGCTTATATTTTGGTTTATTTCGGGAGATGGTTTTGCTCTAATTTGATGTACATTCATTTCGCGTGGTTTTATATTTGACAAGAGTTTTGGTGAAGCACGTTCAGTTCTGTTAGAGCGATTAAAGGAAGCGTGTACCGGTAAATCCTTTTTAAGATTAATATGTGAAATTGGCGATGGTGTGCTTGCTGGCGGGGTTATATTTGGAGTTTTGGCGTCAGGTCCTTTAAGACGAGGAGGCAACGCATCAATATGTGGCGATATGTACATTGAATGTATGACAGAATCATAGTGGTAGAATAACCTGACGTTAGACATATCTCGCAAATACTTCGCTTCTTCCACAAATTCGGAAACCGTATCCGGCGGTGAAGGTGGTGGTACTTTTTCAAGTGCCAAATTTATCTTTGTTTCTTCTTTATGTTTATTAATAATCATAAACGCATCGCCCAACTCCGTCTTAACACCAGTTTTCTTATAAATGCGACGAATTTTACGCAATATTTTCTTCTCCACATGAATTCGATCTTCATCATCACTGTCGTTATTTGGGGTTATACCATCCTCGAACACAACTTTTCTTTTAAAAGATTTCCTGCAAATAAGAATAACACAACACACAATTAAAAGATTTACTTTATTAACGATATTAATATTATACTTACTCTTGCTTAACTGAAGCGTCTTCCGATTTATCCTTCTTTAAAATACTACCCATAGCTCCACTTTTATTGCGCTGAATTCGTAATGAATCGACAACGGACTTTCGTTCATTTTTCTCCTGCTCCCAGGAATCCTTTACCACTTTCGGCTTATTCTTTACTTTAGCTTTATTATCTGTTGGAGAGGTTACTTCTGTCTTTATTTTTACTTCAGTAGTGCACACTATCGGATCATTGGACGGCACGATTTCCAAGACATTGCCTTTTTGCACCGCAACAGTTGCCTTCGGCAGTTCCTTAAGTGTGGAATTAGTTTGACTTAGCACACGAAATTGCTCACCGTATTCATTATAATAGTTATAGTTTGGTGTTGGCATGTGCGGAACTGGTCGACCATGACTCGTGCTATCAATGGTTGGTATATTCGAGTAAATCTGGTTAGGAGTTTGTAGAGAATGCTGTACAGGTCCACCACTAGGTATAGGCATATACTGATTTTCATAGTAGGTACTTGTATTATTTGGTATAGGCACGTAAGCTGTGCCAGGGTACTGTGGATAATTTGTAAAATTAGTATAAGTGTGTGCAGCGGCAACATTATTCTCATCGCCAGTAACTATATTGTCTAATGCATGATTAATTCTTGCATCGAGAGAATCAGGCTGTACGTCGTAACAATATGCAGCAGAGTCCGAGCTTTGTCCATAAAAGCGTTGTTGTAATGGTGATAATGAGCGCCGATAACTTTTTTTGTCTCGTCGATGTTCAAATGAAGGTGGCGAACGTGGCGATCGGGGTCCACGCGGTGACATAGATCGTGAAATGGATCTTTGTCGACGTGATCCTGGAGTTGGTGAAAGACTCGATCGACGACGTGTTGATGTTGGACTGAAGCTACGTCTCATTGGTGGAGATGGTGGTTTAAATGGTAATGGAGAACGTGAATAACGTTCCCTACTATATGAACGACGTCGTATTTTAGATGGGCCCAAAGGTGAATATTTTGGTGAATTTGGCGATCTTGGTGAAACTGGTGAATACTCTGAAGGCCCACGGGATTGTACATTTCTTCGTCTACGCCTATTGGGACTATGACTTAAACTACGTGAACGGCGACTATTTCCGCCACGGTTGTATTGTACTCCGCGACGACCACTTGCTCCAAAACGTCTTGGGGGTGAAGGAGATAATGAACGTACATGACTACGACGTTGTGAACTTTGTCGTGATATTGAGCGTTTAGAACGATCACGGTCACGATCGCGGTCACGATCACGATCTCGATCACGGTCGCGTTCGCGTTCACGTTCTCGTTCCCGATTTCTATTTCTGCTTGGTGAACGAGTACGGTCATAACTTGCCATGGAATTATTTTTTTGGTGGCTTGAACGCATTGGTTTTGTTTCCATCATAGGCTTTACAATGGCAATTTCTTTAGCTGGCTTTACAAGTTTTTCTGTAAAATCTGTTTCATCTGTTTCAGTTGATTCAGCAGGTTTCTTAAGTGTATTCTCATCTTTACTGAAAATCACGTTAGCTTTTGTGAGTTTGATTGGCGATATAGTCAATTTTATGCTCTCACGATTTATATCAAATATTTTGTTTGGAATCAGAGGCGGACTAACGAAACTTGGTGTATTTTCTACCGACGAAGCCTCAAATTGAAGTGGAGGTTTTAGAGAAGCATCTGTGCTTGTGGGTGCAACTGTTGGTGCTACATTTTGAACTTGTGGAGTCGCCGCTGGTATTGGTTGCGTAGTTGTTTTTGGTAAATATTTTTGCAAAATCATATATCGTTCTTGTATAAATATTCTTTCCATTTTCAGCAGTTCTCCAGATAATTCATCTGTAGAATCAAAATTGGCACGCATTTTTTGTATACGATCCAAATTAGTGTCTATACTTTTCAATTTTTTGAAATCTACCGAAGCTGCAGGCGTATTTGTGCTGCAAGCTTCCGGACTTACATTTTGTATTTGTTGGAGTGATGGTGATGGCGATACCGAATTAGTTTTTGACTCTGATAACACAGCAGGAGGCGTATCAACTGCACTTTCATTGCAAGATTTTATACTCGTGGACGCCGAGCTAGTCTTAGGCGAGCTAGTTTTAGGTACTTCGGTGTCTCGAAAAGTTGACTTAGTAGAACTATCCGAATAATTTTTCAATTTAAATTCGTTAGCAAAGTTACTACCATCATTACTATCGTCTGAAGAATTATTTGCTGTCGATGTTGTACTGCTACCAGATGTATTTGAGCTATCCGACGTTGAAGACGACGCAGATGATTCAGAAGATGATAGATGAGGTGGCGATGTACATCTTTCTTTCGTATTAGTTTCATATAATTTAGGTGCAGGTTTTAAATCTAATTCATCTTGTTTTGATTCAAGTTGTTTTTGGTTCACAGAGTCTTCAACACTTTTTATAAACTGGTCATAAATTTCCTGCATACCAGAAGATTTATTTTTTAATTGATTTCCACGTTCAGTTGATGTATTTGTAGTATTTTCAATGCTTTCAATGCCGCTAATATTTTGATTAGGCGGTGACGATGTCGGTGTGGTACTTCTGATAGCTTCATTTAACTGTGTTTGTGATTGTAAGATATTAGCCGGCGGGCTTGGGTTTACAAAGCGGGTTATAAGTTTGTCATCAATATCTTCTTGTGATGATATAATAGGTGTTGAACTATCTCCAGTAATATTTGAAATCATATCAGTATCAGGATCTTCATTTTCCCAATTGTCCATATAATCATCTGTGTCTGGACTTTTGTCGTCGGAACGTTTCCCACTGGCAGTGCTTTTAATCATTTTATTGGATACTTCGCATTGTTTATCCTTCGACTTCGAATTATTAAGGCTCTTTGGAATAACCTCCCCATCAATGTTAATATCAGAGTTATGTACTTCAGGGAAAAGGAATTCATCAGGAGTAAAAGAAAGTGGCGTATTTTTTTGTATTACAGTACTTGTTTTTTTATTTTGAGCGTCCGTAACACGCTCTCTAGCTTTATCTTTCAGTTCATTTTTTGGTGTTGACGAGACTTTTTTTGACTTCGATTCTTCCAATTTTATTTTTTTAGATTTGTCATGGGAACCTTCACGTTTATCAGTTGCTGCTACATACCGTTTTTTTGTGTCTTTTTCATTCTTTGATGACTCCTTCGATACTGAACGTTTAACATCTTTTTTAGTATCACCAGAACGCCGAGCACTATCTCTAGAAGGAGAACGTTGTGTAGTTTGTTTTTGTATATTGCTATTACTAACCGAGTGCCGCTTTGAATTAAGTGCACTATTCTTCGATATAGAACTTCTTGGAGAACGTGATTTAGATAAACCTGAATTTCTGGAGCTATCAAGACTTTCACGTGAACGGTGTTTTGAATCTTTTAAGTCTGTGTTGCTTTCCAGCGATGTACGCGAGCTAACACTACGATTTGAAGTTGACGATTCATGTTTGTGGTATCGATTTCCAGCATCTTTTGGTGAACGAGCACGTGATTTGCGTTTTTTTTCAAAATCGAACCCGTGATCACGATGTGCTGAGGAATTACGTTTATTGTATGGTGAAGTTGAACGATTCATTGAGCGTTTTCTCTCCATATCGCCACGCCTATCACGGCGTTTCGGCGAACGAGATGATGAACGGTGTGACGAAGGTGAACAGTTCTTGAATGGATTTTTATATTCACGAGTTTTGGCAGTTTTATTATTATTATCTTTTACTATATCAAATGTCGAGCTTTTGTCGAATTCTGTGATTTTTGGTGAAGACCGTTTTTCACTTTCTCTTAAGTTATTTGTACTTGACTGCGACTGTTTACGATCTTTTTGTACATTTCTCTCCAACTCCCTGGTCTTGGTTGATACCAACTTTTCCGTTGAAGAAGTGACGTGTTTTTTAAGCAATTCTCGTGGTGGTGTGGTACTTTTAACAACAGTTGATTTCAACTCAGAAGTTTTTTCGCAGTTAGTTTGATTTGCTGAAGTACCGCTTTTATTTGACGTTGAGATATCAGCACTTGTTTTCTTTTTATTTTTGGAAGCAGGTGGGGGTGTAACGGGTGGTGAATCGGCAAACATATCAAACGAGGATTTTATGTCATCTGTATGGCTTTTTGTGGAGGAAGTGGGGATATCAACAGCTTTCCCTTTCTGCGTATCTGTCCCAATATTATGCTCAGAAATGTTATTCTGCTGTGGTAAAACTTGCAGCTCATTTTCATTTTTATTATTATCAGCTACGGTTGATGCCATCTCATAACTTTCATCGATCACTTCTTTCTTTATTGTAATTGGTTTCGGAATTACACAAGTTGCTGCTATATCTTTTGGATAACAATCAGATTTTTCCACTTTTATGTTTTTGACCACATTTTCTATCTCTGCTAGTAACTCCGTTGTACGAGTTGTAGTCGTTGCTATTTCCTGCGTTATCGTCGTTGCAGTTTCCCGCGTTACAATTTCGATATTCTCTAGCGTCTGGTGAGATTTTTTCTTTGCCTTTTCTAATGTTTTACGAATTTTCTCAACATTGCGTTTGTTTTTTTTATGTCCTCGTTTCTTTTTTAGCTTTCGACTACTTTTCACCTTCGCTTTTGATTCCTTCTTCTTTGCTTTTTTTACACGCTTTGATGTTTCTTTGGCTACATCGACGACTGCATCTTTTTTATTGACATCAATTGTTTGTGTTTTACTTTTCTCAATGTTGAATGCATATGAAATAGAGGGCTTGTTTTTTGTCCAACTGTAAATGCAAAATTCAAAATGCAAAAATATTATTTAATATTAACCTAAACAACAATAATTAAATTAAACAAATATTGCAAGATATATACAAACATATTTCCAACTTTATAGACTTGATAAATTTTCTTCATTGATTAAGAGTGCGATTAAGATTGAGATTATTCATTTAAACAAGAACGTATAAAATGTAAGACTAACTATACCACATTCATAATTAAATTGATTGTTATTTGCTTAAATGCTTGCTTCCACATTATTCCCAATATTTTACTGAGAACCAAAAATCAATTCAGTAACCAATTCAGTAATTCTACAAATAAAATAACAAGTATTCTTACAGCAATTCTGAGTCTGGCGCTAGTATTGGTGAATGCCCCCGTATTGGAGGTGGTGTATGCTGACGAGTTAGAGGTAAATGGTGTCGCACTGGCGCATTATTGAAAAAAGGCGGCCGAAATGTATTAAAACGTGGATGACCCCTCACAGCCGCACGAGGTCGCGGATGGTAAGCACCACGTACATTATGAAACTCTGGCCGCATTCCACGTATGAAAGGTCCCATCATGGGTCTATATGGCATAAACCCATCGCCATAGGCGCCAGACATAAGTCGTGGTGTTGGCATTACTGTGGGATAACGTGCTGATGTTTCACTGTCAAGTGTGTTTCCCTTATTATTTGCTTTTAATGCATCCATCGACATCAGTAATTCACTCTTCCAGACGCTGCTGTCATCGTCGCTTTCAAGAGCAAGTCGTGCTTCCTCTTGTTCTATATACAATAATAACAATTAAGTGAAGACAATATTTTATCACATTCATTTACCTTTTTTGAGTCTTTTTTTCAGTTTTTTACGCTCCTCCTTTGCTTTCTTTTTAGTTTCTTTATCTAAAGCATCCTCAGTTGCTACGGCCTTTGCTTTCAACTTTTTACGATTTTCTGCTTCTTCCTTCCTCTTAATAGCGTCTATTTCCAGTATTGCACGTACCTTCTCCTGACATACTTCGGCGTCTGACAGCGAAGTTGATTTTTTTAAATTAACTAACGATTCCTTACGCAACATCTTATCTGAATCTGCATCTAACAGCTGTGAGTTTATGTTTTGCTCTATAACTGAGCTACCATGTGGAGGTGTTTTAACCTCGCCCGGTTCCAAGCTACTGTCCCCTTGCATTTCATCTAAAAAACTAAAATTCAGTTTGGCTACGCCTTCCGCAGATATTTTTATGTCAGTTTTGCATGCGTTGATCGCGCTGTTGTTTGTATTGCTAAGCTTTGGTGTTTTCTCTGACGTTGTTTCTTCTGACATTTTGGCCGCGGTGGCGGTGGCACTATGTTTATTGTTCTTTTTAACTTATCGAAAATAACAAAATTCTGTTCCTGGCACTTTTTATGGGTAAAAGTGCACATTACTTCATTACAAATTAGTACACACATACAGTGTCATGGAAACCAATTTAATCACAGCCACCATCGTTACAAAAATAGCAAACTGCTTATTTTCATTAACAAAATAACATATGTGCAATAGTTTAATTTCATTTAATAAACTGAAATTATCTTAATTAACTCCTCCTAAATAGTAGATAGCCGATATGCGTGAAAACTAAGATGCTTCTTCATTTTCAATCTTTTACATTCACAATAGTAATAATTGATTGGAAGTTGAAGTTGGAAGGCACGTTTGTATATTAGATGTGTTCGCGAAAAATGAAATTTTATATTTCCAATGTCAAAACTATGACTAATATTTTTTAGTATACGCATAAACATGTAAGAACTTTACATGTTTTAATTAAAATATTACCATTTAAATCATTACCACACTACTCTACTACTATAAATATTACAAATTTTCATTTATATGAATACAAATACTTAAAACCATGTTTTTTTGTCAGGGATTAATATGGTTTTTACTTTATTATATAATTTTTCTTATTCTTTAAGTATTATTTACCCTTAAATGCCTTTACCCATAGCTTAATCCATTTATATATATTGTTATGTTTTATGTATATAATACACATCTACATGTTGGGCGAAATTTCACCAAAGACGAGTCCTTTTGCGGCAGTTAATAATTTTTTAAAGAACTTTTTCTCAAGCAATTTCATCCAGTTAGTAATTATTACTAACAATTTTAATTATCGAATGGTATTTTGCAATGTCACATTTAGTTATATAATGACATTATTTTTAAACATAAATAAAATCGACATGTTGCTTTATTTTTGATTTAAAGCGATTAAATAAATTTTACTAAATAATGGGTTTCAGTTTCTCAAGACCAACCCCCTTAGCTGATTTTCTTAGCTGATGACCATGGCTGATTTTCATCATTTTGTATTCAAAAAGTCTCTGACGGCAGTAAACTAACAGCTGTGCGTCAAAGTGCTAACATGGTGTGTTGTCATATACATATGTGCATACATATATTTCAAAGCGGCGCTATTAAGGAATAAGTTATTGGAACTTAGGCTATTTAGTTCAACCTTACAAATCAAATAATTAGAGTAAAATAGTTAGTTAAAATATTAATAATAAAAAATTTCATGGGTTGATCACATACCCTATATGTATGTTGAATAGGCTCTTCTGTTTTCTTCACGGTGTTGCCATTATCGCAGCCAAATCTGTAATACATGGAAGAAAATTGTGTGCGAAGGAAATATAGTACAGGTAACAAGAATATAATAGATTGGATTAACTCTAACTGTAGTTTAAAGTATATTTTACTAAGTATGTACTTATAAAATTAATCACATAACATTTTTTGAATTTCATATTTGGTATCTTATAATTTTATCTTATAATTTTATTTATATTATTTTATTATAAACTTATTTTATATTAACTATAATACCCTATTTACATTGAATTTTTTTATAGTAAATTATATTCACATTTGCAATTAAGTTAAAACTTTTAATAATATACGATTTCGTATTAATACACGGGTTAGCGTACATCCTTTTCAGGTAATCCGCATTTTTTACAGCTGCTACAACATAAAATATCGTAAATATACGATCTTAGAATAGAACCAACATATTTTTTTTTTCAAGATCTAAACCTACATGTAAAGCTTTGTACTGACATCCATTTCAAATGAAAAATTAACATACAAATATTCCACTAAGTTAAGATATTAATATCTCGAGCAATATTTCGAACATTGCAGGTGTTCAATGCATATGTTCGAGTTGTCATCGAGTTACCCGAGTCATATTTAAAATTAATTACTTCGGCAATTAAATATCTTTCAACGCCTATTCTGTGATGTTTATATTCTATTAATTTTTTTAGTTCTTCAGTATGAAATAAACAATTTTTTTTTATTTTGAATTAATGACTTTGCTTTTAGTTTTCTTTTTATTTAAACCAATCAATGTTCTGGCAATACTTAAAAAAATATTGTCTATTTTATTTTATTGTATTTCATTTTTTAATATGACTTCAGAATTTAATATTTTTAACATATTTCTATGTTTCGTTACTGGCAATCCTATTACAAGTCGGGTTCAATGAACTGGAGAAGTAGATTTAATATTTTTTTCTGTCAAATATCAGCTCTTTTACTCGGTATTCATTATTTTTAACTACGCCTCAAATCTAATCAATCAAAGCGGCACTGAGTAAACACCCAAAGCATGAAATTAAACAAAAGTATCAGTGCACAAGTCATGCAGTTTGCGGCTTAGCCTTAGCTTAGATTTGAAGTTCCCGCATATTGATGGATGGAGATGCTTCGAAAGTGTGTGCTTGTTGGTACTCATCGTACCTGCAGCTGAAAACTTTCGCTTTCTTTATGACGTAAACCTTAAAACACCCAAAAATATTCGTTAAAATTATATAGCGCATGTGCAAACTTCCATTATTGCATTGTTTTAGAAAATCATAATGGAACTTACCTAACAAGCTCTTTTATAACATTTAGATAAAATTAAATTAATAAATTAATAATAATAATAATAATAATAAATAAAAATAAAAGCAAAATTCATTATTGCATTGACATTAAAAAAAAAACAATAAAATGTTTTTGCGATAAGTTTACACAATCTCAATTAACGCATTTTCGTAATTAACTCGTTAATTGTATAACAATTAATCATGCAAAAATGTTCGAGATAATTGGATCGAAACAACACAATTAATTACTAATTGACTTTAATGAGGGAAATGGTGTTTCGAAAAATTCATTTCAGGAAATCACTCTTGATAGTGGAAAAACTCTCTCATGAAATGTTCCCTTTTTGCTGAATGGAATGGCTTTGCTTATCTAGCCTAGCTTAAAATGATAACCTAAAAAAATCAATAGTTTATTTCTTTTATATTTATCTATTTTATATATATTTCTGGCGTTATATATTTTGCTTTTTGTCCATAGGAATAGTTTTTTACTCTACAACCTTTAGTCTAGGAGGATGAATACCGCGTTTCTAATAAAGACGTTTTCAATTGAAAAATCTAGATTTGTTTTTTTAGCTAGTATTCTAGAAATTACTGGAATCAAAATCACATAAATTATAGTTTTAAGTATTATCGGTTCATTCGTTGTTGGATTCTGTCTAGTTTTGCTTTTACAGTAAAAGTCTTAGACAAACTGAGGCGCATATCGTTGGATATTACTTGAACTCACTATATTCCAATATATTAATGATCTGTAAAGTTTTTAAATTTGTGCGGCAATTTGTGTAGTTGTTAAAATAGGTTTGCATTTTGTTAAAATCTACGCTCAAAACAGTGATTAGAAGAATTGTCATTAGAAGGAGATTAATGACGTCGGTGTAAACGCTTTAGAATGTTCTAGGTAATTAATCATCATTATATCAATATGTAGAGATCTGAATGCGCCGAGCTGCAACTTGGCATAAATAATAATATAATAATATATTAAGAATATAATTTGGTCTTCTTTCATTTCTTTGATCTTAACTCAGAGTTATGGTATAATATAATTTACGAACCGTAGTTACTAATTTGCATACAATCTTAAAAATATCCATTATTTCTCACATTTCATATAAGAATACACAAAAGATATGTAAAGGATAGAAAAGCTCTTCAGAACTGGATATTACATTTTCATTTATCGACGTATGTGCCTGTATTATTCATGTATTAGAACTACAAAAGTTTGAAAGTCACACTGAAAACTTTCAAGATGTTTTGCATATTGGACATCTTACAGTACTAAACCATTTTTAATATTATTTGGTGATTTTTTCACATAGCTGGATAGAACACGGTGATAACTTGAAACATATTTCTTAAAAAATTTGAGGACTTAACCTAAACACTTGATACATTGGATGACCATTTTTTTTGGTATATCTTACTTAAACTTTATTGTCAAATCTGAACCACGAAATCGATAACCCTTTATTAGCAAACGATATAAGCGTAATCTTCAAAGAACTGCGTTGAATGTAATACCTTGTGATCTGCAAATTTCATTTTTATTTCTATTTCAACTTCTCATCGAAAATTAGAACAAACTTTTTTCCGGATCATTGTAGTTATATTGAAGACACTATCAAATCACACACAATATATATATTCTAAATTGGTTTTACCAGAAATATTATCTGCATACTTAATTTAGTGTTATTGTAAAACATTTCATTGATATTGTTCATATTCTCTAAAGACTACGAATAAAAATTCTTAAATCTGATGCTCCAGCAAGCAAACAACTTATCTCTTTATCGTCTTGCACTTCTCACTAACAGACGGCAATTACAATCTTATGAAAACAGACGGAAATTTTTTAAATCGAATATACAGGAGTGTACCTAAACAATGGTATATGGGGCAGTAGTCACTCCGTAAGTGCGGAGTATTTTATAATAAAAGAAGGATCTATAAGTGGTGTGGGTACATGTATGATCAGGCGATCCTGTGCAGTAAGGTTACCTATGTGACCATTATATGGTATATAAAAGATAAAAGATTATTATAAGTTCAGAGCGGTGAATTACTTTACATGTTGTTGTTTATAAGAAGTTTTAGTGTATAAAAGTATTATACCACAATTTAGAGTACCCTCCATGTATATTAAGAACAAGTAAATATCGTTCAAAATTATTTAGCTTTTAATGTACGAGTATTTAGTAAAAATTTTAAATGAATTGATTATACATAAATTATTTTTAGACCGTATCTGCGCATAAAATATATTATATATCATATATATAACATATTATCATTATATCATGTTCTCTAATATTCTCTAAAATCGTTATATTAACGAACTTAAAATAGATACCTTGGTAGGTAGTGGGGTTTTCTTTGAAGAACTGAAAATATGTAAATATTGAAGGATTCCTGATCATTGCATCATCTTTTAGGCGTAAGTTATTCCTATAAGGGAAGCTTAAGTTTGCTTGGAAATCGGAATATATAAGAAATTAAAATCGGGATGCATAACTAATTTTTATAGTGGATTTGATGGGTTTTAATTTAAGTCATAATTAGGGAATTGTAAGTGAATTTATTGAGGCCCTATGCTCCACTGAAAGAAGACGACTACAGTAAGTAAGTAAGTAAGTGCATTAATTACTCATAAATTAATTTTCAATTATTAACAAACTATATAATTTGTGCCAAAATAATTTAAAAGGTAATGTTGATTAAGTA